TAGTCAGCAGTGTAAGAGGCACATAAGGCTCTCAGCCCCCAAGCTGTAAACTGCCCAGCCGCAGGTGGCTGACATACATACCTATGGTAGGGATGGTTGTCACGATCTCTCCCAGCTTCAGTTTATACAGGATGGTAGTTTTGCCAGCTGCATCCAACCCCACCATAAGAATCCGCATCTCTTTTTTTCCAAATAGACTCTTAAACAGCTTTTCAAAGACGTTCCCCATTGTAACGGAATTCAGTCAGCTCACTGAGAAGAACAAAAATCAGAGTCACACATGCTACTGCGGCTGCTCCCAGCAATGTCCAAACACAGCTTGGCCTACAACAAGGAGTGCGGCATCTTGCATCCAAAGCCTTTTGATGCCTTCTAGAGAATTCCCTTTTCTACTGCAGGTCCAAATGGAAAGGAATTCTGGTGGTGCCAGGGGATAAGCATTGGGCTGCTGAAGGCAAGGGTGGCAGTTCAAACCCACCAGCCATTTGATGGGAGAACGATGAGGCTGTGTGCTTCAGTAGTGATGGATAGCCCTGGAAACCCTCTCTAGGGTCACTATGAGTAGTGGTGGGATATAGTCATACCAGAGAGCTTCAAACAGTTTGTGGAGAAATTCCACTATCTTTACTTTTTTTCCCCCCCAGGAACTTTCTGAAGTCCCCTTCTACAAAAGAGGGCTTATTAAAGTCATATTCGCTTTGGAGAAATATACTCTAACCTCATTTTTTTCCTAACCCCTAACACTATTTGAAGTGTGAGTTTGCAGTGCCATGCAGGCTTCTTAGGTGCAGCTATCAGTCTCTCCCCATCCCAGGAAAAAAGAGTGGTAAAAACAGAAAGACATGTGGGCACTATTCGTCCAAGGGACGAATGGACCCCCAAAAGACCAGTCTCCATGACCCAGGGATCTGAAGAATTAGAAAGTACCCAGCTACCACTGCCAACTGCTCTGCTCTAAAAGGGTTTCACATCAACAGGTCGTAAACAGATGGAAGAAAGGTGTGGAACAAAACCCCCAATCATAAAATAGACCAGGCTTACTGGTCAGATAGAGACCAGCGGAATCCCCCAAAGAATGGCCCTTAGTCACTCTTCAGGTTTGGTACTAAACTCACCACACCCCACCCCCTACCACACACACACACACACACACACACACACACACACACACACACTTCCTCAGGCTCATTATTAGGTGAGTTACAGAAAGGGCCAGCTCAGAGCATGTAGTTATGCATACTAGTAAGGTATGCATACCTTAGAGCAATGAACCAATTTAAGATTTAAGAAGCAGCATTTACCCAAGAACACATTTC